GTTCTGTTTTGGTGACACAAGTGACACCATGTTTGCGTTGCTTTAGTTCTTGTCCAATACGTGATATAGCCAAAACATTTCCCCAGTTCTTTTCTTTTCCTCAGTCTGTTTATTATCACTAATATCGATTTGTATTATAAGTATTGTATATTTTCGTACTTCTCTCATGCCATAATGTCAGTTCGTACTAAATCTTAAAAGTAGCCCGAACTCTGAACCGTAGGCTCTACTTATCCAATCTCTATGTAGTCAACGCTAGCGTATTTTAGCTTGATGTTGTAAATTATGTAATAATGTCTTATCTGCATGTTCAACACTCGAAATTTTCCAGTACTAACGTTCGCGATCTATCTAGGTTTATCTAGCAAGAGGGTACTTTATTCCTGGACAACGGGAAACATATGTAGTGCTAAATGACCCAACATCATTCCGTTTAGTTAGTAAGTACCCATACCCTCGTAAACACAGTGACTTCTCTCACAAGTAAATCTGTGCTGTTTCAACTGCTTTTGAAACGATTTTCCGAGTTACTTGTAAATGTTTTATCAGAAATGTTTCATGAGGCTGAAAGTGGTTTCTATATAAATTGATTGGTCTTGAAGCAACCGAGAAGTATCATATATATAAAACTAGTTTATCCCGAAGTAACCAAAAATATATTTTTTTAAACGACTAGGCTCCATGTAATAAGCAGTGTTACCTATAATATGAATGGTATCGAAGAAAAAAAAAAAGGCTTAAGTACAAAATGACTGATCTCCAAGTACCCATAATAGTAATAAATACAAAACGGTTGATCTCATTGACTATAATAGTGTTAAATACAAAAATAATTATCCCATTGTGACCAAAAAAGTGTTAATTGCAAAAAGATTGATCTTCAAGTGACCAAAAAAATTTAAATACAAAACGACTGACCTTAAGGTGATCAGAAAAGGCGTTACATGTTACAAGGAATATTGAACGTATAGTATCTTACTTTAAGGAGGTCCTTTAGTCCAGTAACTTCAGAAAAGGTGTTACGTGGAACGTTGAACGTATACAGACTCTATAGTAACTTACTCTAAGAAAAAATTAGTTACCTGAGCTGGGGATAAAGATTAGTTATTAATATTTCAGTAAAATTTAAAAATGTTTTGTAGTCCCAACTTTTCTCTTTGTTGATAACATAACAAAATGTTCGCGGAGCGTTTCAGGTACCCCTGTCTGGGTTTATGATCTAAATAAGTCTGGAAAATCGTACTTTTTACATTTTTACGTATTTGTATATTGAACGATAATTTCAAGATGACTGTTCTAACTCTAGCTTCTTGTTGTTTTTTAAACATAATTTAATTATTACTTGTGGGGATTCCCAACCTTTTTGTTCCTCTGTAACCCCTTGGCCCTGGGGCATTCTGACAGGTTCCCATGTACCCCTAACAATTAAGGATCAAAAACTGATAAAATTTATATTGATTTTATATTATTTTATTATGAAATCTGTATATGTGGACTGCATAAGGATCTTATAGTATTGATAACATCAATACATTGAACTCAGCGTATATTTATGTGAGCCATTTTGTCTGACTGTAGATAACATAACACCATGTAAAGTGTATACCATGGTTATACTCTCAGACCCCCTATGTACCCCCTGAGAAGTGCAAATGTACCACAGGTTGGGAATGTCTGGTCTACGACATTGTTGGTCATATACGAGTTACACCAAATAATTAAAAACAAACCATCAATATAGCAAGTAATTCGACAGCAGTTCCGTATGTATTTCATGCAGAAAATGAGAGGGGTATCACGAACTCTTTTTGGCCACTTCTTTACTCAAATTTCTCTGACAGGCAAATGACTTAAAAATGTATGAATATTATACAGCGGATAAACTATGGACTCTCTGTAGTGAAGGGAATGAAAATATGTTTGTTATTTGACGGTCTAACATTGGTTTTTGAAGACGGAGATATTCATTCCGTAGTAAATGATATTAAAGATGCATTGTTTTATCATTTTCTTGTTTCGCGTTTACATTGCTTTATGATTAACAAAAAACGTTAACGCATGTCAGTTGTAATAGATCAGATTTAGTGAATGATTAATGTGATATCAGTTTATAGCGATAATATTTGTTACTGCTGTACAAAAAAAACAAGAGAATTAACTTTAAATCTTTGTGATGTTAACTACACTCTGTCATGTGCGCTGAACACAGTTTTAATAGTGTCAGAAAACAACTTCTGTGTCTTAATTACAGTTACTTCCTGTCGAAACTTAGAACTGAAAAAAAATCTTTTTTTTTAATACTACATAGTTAAGCTTAAAAAGGTAGCACAGAAATGATAGCTCGTCCTAATAACGACGAGGACGTGCTGGAGTGGTTACGAAACACAAAGCACAAGCAAAATAAAAATAATAACATCAAAGTCTAAGTAATCTAGTGACGTAATAAGACCAAAAACAAATTAGTCTATGATAATAACATCAAAGTCTAAGTAATCTAGTGACGTAATAAGACCAAAAACAAATTAGTTTATGATAATAACATCAAAGTAAGTATTCTAGTGAAGAAATACGACCAAAAAGACGAAATAATTAGCCGTAAGGAATAGCCTCTAAGCCCAATTTTTTTGCTTTACTAATCAAGTAAAATCATAAACGAACTAGCTTAATTAAACACCGTGAGATACGATTTAAAATGCTAACGAAATAAAACTAAAAACATATTAGCTTAAACAGACGGTTTTTAATTTGAATTAGCTATAACTGTACTGTTTAAATCATAGACTAATTTGTTTTTGGTCTTATTTCGTCACTAGATTACTTAGACTTTGATGTTATTCTCATAGACTAATCTGTTTTTGGTCTTATTTTGTCACTAGATTACTTAGATTTTGATGTTATTATCATAGACTAATCTGTTTTTGGTCTTATTTTGTCACTAGATTACTTAGATTTTGATGTTATTATCATAGACTAATTTGTTTTTGGTCTTATTTCGTCACTAGATTACTTAGACTTTGATGTTATTATCATAGACTAATCTGTTTTTGGTCTTATTTCGTCACTAGATTACTTAGACTTTGATGCTATTCGGTTGGATGATTTTGTTTTTGGTCTTATTTCGTCACTAGATTACTTAGACTTTGATGTTATTATCATAGACTAATTTGTTTTTGGTCTTATTTCGTCACTAGATTACTTAGACTTTGATGTTATTCTCATAGACTAATTTGTTTTTGGTCTTATTTCGTCACTAGATTACTTAGACTTTGATGTTATTCTCATAGATTAATTTGTTTTTGGTCTTATTTCGTCACTAGATTACTTAGACATTGATGTTATTCTCATAGATTAATTTGTTTTTGGTCTTATTTCGTCACTAGATTACTTAGACATTG